TCCCCCAATTTGACACACATTAATATTACTAATAACAAGTCACAGTATGCTTATAATCTAGACTGACTTGGTCACTGGACTCTTTTTCTAAACTATAACTAGTTGGGGTCAAGATAAGAGTTCAAGTTGTTCACCCCATAGGTCTGTGTTGGCTTGGCTTCGTATTCGTATATTAACCAGACTACACCATGCTTCTAGCAGGCCCTTCCAAAGGTCAGGCCCCTAGAATTGGAGAGGAGGCCCATTCAGCTGACAACAAGACAGGACTGATCATGATGAGTTTCCATGATATTAGCTAACCAATAAAAGTAGGGCAGGTTATTGGAATAAACTAAGGGAATGGTTTTATTAATTAGCTGTTTTTTGTTGTGCTGAAGTTTTATTTCTTGTCGATCCTGCCGGGGCTTCTCTGTACAGGGTCCTTCCCCTTACTCAGCTGCAGAGCCATGGCGTACATGTAGACACGGGAGTCCACTGTCACTGCCTCCTTCTTAGTGAAATCTGGAGAGAACAAAGTAAGCACAGCAATGATGAGTAGGGAACTTTTTTTGCCAAGGAAGGTCTTGTACAAAGTTTCAATTCTTATCCCTACACAAAACCAACTTCATAGCACCTTGGAACATTTGCTCACTTATCATTTCCATAAAGCCTCATTTTTGAGTAACTGGGTCCTCAATTATCCTGGAGAATACTAGCTGGTAGTCTTCTCGAAAATTAGGTGTGTCTTCTTTTTGCGTCTGTACACTTTCAGTCTCAGAACTCTAGCTAGATTTTGTTAGCTTGTTGTAATACATGTACATAACATTTTTTTATTGGTTCACTAAAAGTAAGACAATATCCTGTTCCTAGATGGGCACAACCAGTATGAACAAGTCCTTACCATTTATCCTTGTCAGGAGCTCATTCATGGGGAAGTACAGCACTTTCAGGAACTCTGCAACATACAGAGATATGTTGAACTGAAAATGAATTGCTTCTAACTGCCATGATGATAAAACTTCCATGTCTAGCATGATGTAATAGCAGGATAACAAAAAAACATGTACATGTATGCGGCAGGGTAAACCTACAATAGACCTAGTTCATGTAAAATGTAACAATTAGGGATTCTTCCTTAAATTTGAACTTATCTTTTTTGATGAACCAGCATGGTGGCAAGAAAGTACTGCACTTGCAAAAAAAATATATACATATTGTGCTTAGCACTTTGGCTGAACGTCTAGTTTAAGGTTGTTCTCATACATTCCATCTATAATTTTCAAATGTTGTGTCGGAAAGGATATTGTCTGCAACAGGCAAACTTCTGATGCAATGTTGACTAAACACCCTATGAAAACCGTCAAAAATCTGGGTTTTGCACAGGTGCAGTTTGTTCTGACGACGAGAGAAAAAAACAACCAACACCCACCTCCTTCCTCTAACAAGGTAACATGCAAGGGTAAAGAAAAACAATGTGTTAGTTCAACACCCAGACCCCTGCAACAGACACCAACACACCATACCATTATTCCTCTCTTGAGCAATATCATCAATATGGGTAACAAATGACAATGTGTAAAATCATACAATAGTAGTACTTATTTTTTAACAGTTCCATATAAAATCTAGGACAGGGGTGGTCACATACTTTTAAAAACCTGTTAGCCATGTAGTGGATGCAAACTGATGAGTCTGAAATTTCACTATTTAGCAAGTCAACGTTCAATTTCCTGAGAAAACACTCAGGAAAGTTTGTCTAAAACAATCTTGTTAGTAAGTCTTTGATTGCTGTGATTACACGTGATACAGTGACTCAAAACTTACCTGGGTGTGGTTTTGGTCTGATGTTCACAATGTCATCTCCATCAATCTGTAATGGAACAAAAACATGTCTTGTATATAAAAATCTTGAAATGTACATTGTACAAAGCTTCTCTAATGTCCAATGTAAATAAAAACCTTGAAATGTGTAAAACTTTTCCAAAGTCTAATCCTTGCACCAACAAAGCCTTTCATTGGCATCTAACAATATTTCTTCCAGACTGTTTGCACATCCATGTCACTCTGTAGTTACACATTGAGTAAGTGAACTAAGGTCTCACCTGTGCTGTAACCAGGCAGGTGGTACAGTTGGACAGTCCTGCATCCATGCAGGTGGCTGCAACAGAAATAGAGAGTAATCATTGCAGTAAATAGGTTGCTTTGTAAGAATGGCAGTGGATACGACATTGACAATCCAACTACGCAGGGTTTGGGTGCCTATACAAAGTTATTACTGGGCAATGACAAGTAAAGCAATCAGTACTGTATGTTTTGTTCTACACACACCCATACAATGGCTTTCTAAAAGTGTAGTGGAACTTTGAAGTGTTTTCTTCAAACGACGTCTCTGGAAGGACTGTATCCACAGTAGTAGCATGCAAAGCAGGGACTTCTAAGAGTATGGATTGGTATAGGAAGAGAAAAGGTAGGGACTGAGAACTACCTGGTGAGACCTGGATGACCTGGCCCGTGTACCCGGTCTCCTCCCGTAGTTCTCGGATTGCACAGTCCTCCACACTCTCTCCTGCATCACATAGGCCTGAGGAACAGGAACAAGGGCTGCAGTTAACCTTCAACATGCTAAGGTAACCATTTGGCACCAAATTTCTATTGGCAGCAGGGAAAAGGTTAAAAAATCATGGCTTGGTGGCTTATAATGAGACCATGATTGTTCATACTAGGGTATAAACACCGTACCTGGGCTATGTTAATAGATAAATATATAAGGAACTGGATACACATGGTTGAACTAGATACACATTGTTACCTTCTAAAAAATCACCACCTAATAAAGGCTAATTGACCCCCACTCCCTCCACTATAAAATAATTCACATAAATGTGTAACCATTGCTGTCCCTACCTGCGGGGAACTCCAGGGTATAAGCATTAATGGCCGGCCTGAACTGCTGCACCAGGATTAGCTGGTCATAGTGTAGGGCTCGTTTCAACACTGCTACAACTGTTGCACCTGAAGTCAGTATGTCATTCAGTCAAGTACATGTATACTGAGCAGTGTCTCATTTTACTTTGTTACTTTGTACTGATAGTTCTTAGGAATAAAGGGAAAGAACCTTAATGAGTTATCACTGTAAACAATACAATTAACAAGTTTTTTAAAACAAGGTACATGTGGGTGTTTCTTACCGTCAGTCTTATAACCATCACATCTGGTGGTTCTTCTGACAGTCTCCCACGTTCTACAAATAAAAAAAAACATGTCATTATATACAGAAGACATATACATGTAATTTAATTATTAACATGTCATACCTGTACCCATCACAGTTGGATACCTGGTACAACTTGCATGTACTGTACTGTACCGTATTTACACAATGTAGGTCTATATTTCACACACCTTGTCTCAACAACTTTTGATACAGAAATTATATTATGCAGAAATAGTACAGCCTGTTCGTGCTTGGCTAAATAAAATGATACAAAACAGGCATTTCCAAAGTCTGTCTCACCTGTGCTGTCCTTGTGGATCTTGGTAGGTGGTTACTCCTAGGGACAGCCACTCGCCTTGGTACACGGTCTGGTGAGGCAAAATTACACCATCAAAAATCACACAACTACTGTAAGTTGTTGGAATTTTTTTACCGGGGGTTAAAATCATCTTTATTCCATACAAGATGAATGACATATTAAATACATAGCTAAAAACCTAGGACAATCCTTTGTCTCATGTTTAGGTAACAAGAGGAGGACGCAAGGTGGACAGACAAAAATACAATATACTAGTCACTGTGTGCATCGGACAAACAGACGTTCTCTATTAAAAATTGCCATATATAATTATAATTACGGGTACATTATATAACAATTACAATTTAGAGTTCTTAAAAAAGACAGCAGCTAAATTTTACATCTAATTTTTACAGTAGAACAATCCTGAAGTGCATTCCCAAGCAGGCGTGTTTCTGGCACAATAGATTGCATAAGATGCACAAAGTGCACACTTTCCCAGTCTACTTTTTAAGATGTCTGACTTCACGGTCTTTGTGACTGACCGGACAGAGTGACTTCAGCTTTGCAATGTTCTCGCCGTTAATCCACCCTCTGCTTCCTACTTCAACTGTAACAAGAGTAGCCCTGTATCCACTATGAAAGTTAATGTCATTAACCAGACTTTCGTACTTCGTCCGATTTTCTATCCTCGGCGTCCTGTGCATTCTGATCAAACGGGTACGGTAAGTTCAATCAGGGTCAGCGTCGTTTGACTAGGATCCTGGACTGTGATGTCAGGTACCAGCGGTGTCGGTAGGATGTCTGGGGAATTGTGGTGTGTGTACCTCCTTCCAGGTAGTCTGGGCTTAAGTCACACCTGATTGTGACCTCTGGGTTGGACTTTGCATGCCACAGCTTAAGGGTGCTGACTAGTTCCATAAGGACACTATTATGTCGCCAGGTATACCTGTCCTTGAGGGCTACAGGGCACATGTTGAGGACATGTCGCAGAGTCTGCCGTCC